TCTCTCTCTCTCTCTCTCTCTCTCTCTCTCTCTCTCTCTCTCTCTCTCTCTCTCTCTCTCTTATTGTTTTGACTGTATCATTTTCACCCAGGCTTGTGGCAATGTGGTTTGGAAGTGGGAGCCCTATATGAAGACGTTGTTGATATATTATAGTGTAAGTGGCACCGACTTCCCAACCTTGTACAAATGTGAGGTTTTTTATGTCTTTATTGATTAAATTGCGTCACATTTACACACCGGTCTTCCACATACATTCGTGACGATATCGTTCAGAGGTCGGGGTCGTGTATTAACAAGTTGTTGTAGTATTCCGCCATAAGTGACACATTGGTTTCCAACTGTCTTGAAATGTTGCAGTTAGACAATTTGGTTCCTAAGTTCTCTCTCTCTCTCTCTCTCTCTCTCTCTCTCTCTCTCTCTCTCCCCATCATGTGGGTGGTATGGTGTTCCGTACTGCGGTCACATGTTACGCAAGAAAGAATGGACACTCGATGAAAACATTGAAAAAACAAAAAATTAAAATAAAATAAAAATAAAATTTTCTTACACTTAGTTGTGTGTATGAATAAACAAACGAATCATGGACGTGGCGGAGTCGTGTGTATGAAATGTTGAACGTGTCTTTTCTTATCGTGTGTGTTGTGAAGCACGGAATAAACGGAAGGAGGGGCGACGACAAGTAATAAGTCTCACATTTTCTGACTTGCAACGCGCTTCACGTTGCCGGTGTGACGATATCTTATATCCTTTAAAAAAAACAGTGCACATGATGGACAAGCGCATGGTGTGTGAATGCGGTCGTCCCTTTATGTCATTAAGGACACTGAACTCGCATAAAGCGAGAGCATGTCCCTCGTCCATGACTCGTAGAATGAATGATGACGACGGACACGCATGGAACGATAGCCCCGCGCGGGAGGACGTTGCACCGGATCACAGTGGGGGGGGGTAACAACATTGTCAATGAAGAAGTGAATGCGGAACTTGATCGTGATTCTGAAGAAGAAGACCCACCTGATGTGTGGTCATTCGACACATCGCGCAGACTTCGTGCAATCATGTTGTCCTCAAGGGGTGGCTTAGGGATGTCGTTGAACGACATCGACGCTCTTTTGTCAGTACTGAGAGATCCAAGATTCTCGCCACAGGAAATCGTCTATCGCAATAGCCGTGACTTTTTACGGTGGACGAGCAGCCAGGCAGAGACGAACGGGTGGCAGGAGAGAGATCTTAGGAGCGAGGACTGACCATCAGATGCACATGCCATCATGTGGTACCGAGATTGGCACACAACGTTCAGGTCATTGCTCAAAGCAATGATGAAAAGTATGCAGACGGTGTCGTGCCTTCAAGTGCACCACCCCGAAGCACAACGAACAATCAACAGTGCTCGGTCAGGTACCTTGTGGCGTATAGACAGTCATCAGAGCGGAAAAAAGTGTAGATAAAAATG